CCTGCGGTGAGGACATCGGCTTGTCGCAAACCGCTTCGATCTGGCTCGTGATATTGGCTGCCCTTGTGGCAGCCAATTTGCCTTTCTTCAACCCCCGCTGGCTGCAGCTGGGGCCGCTGCGCACCCAGCGCAAGCCGCTGGCCCTGTGCCTGCTGGAGATGGTGCTGCTGTACTTCATCGTCGGCGGCGTGGCGCTGCTGCTGGAGCGCCGCGTGGGGCAGATTGCACCCAGGGCTGGGAGTTCTATGCCATCACGGGGGCGTTGTTCCTGACACTGGCATTCCGGGTTTCGTCTATCGTTTCCTGATTCACCGCCGCGGCTGAGGCCGCGGTGCCGGTTGCTTCATGGATGAGGGTGCGCGATGAAAGTGCTCGACCTCCATTGCCCGCAGGGCCACCTCTTCGAGGGCTGGTTCGCCTCGGAAGAGGATTTCCAGAGCCAGCTGCAGCGCCAGCTGGTGCTGTGCCCCGTCTGCGGCCACAGCGACATCACCAAGCGCCTGAGCGCCCCCCGCATCAATCTTGGCGCCAAGCCTGCAAGCTTGCCCCCGGCGGCGGCGGCAGAGCCTGCTGCAGCCGCCTCGGCCGCCAGCGCGGCAGCCGCTGCTTCAACGGCCATGCCGCCCCAGGCGCGTGAGCAATTGCAGGCCATGCAGGCCGCCTGGCTGCAGTGGTCGCGCAAGGTCGCGCAGCAGACCGAGGACGTGGGCGAACGCTTTGCCGATGAAGCCCGCCGCATGCACTATGGCGAGACCGAAGAGCGCGCCATCCGCGGCAAGGCGAGTCCCGGGCAGGCCCTGCAATTGCTGGACGAAGGCATTGCCGTGGTTCCATTGGCCTTGCCGCAAGGCAGCAAGGAAACGCTGCAGTAACTTGCTCCGGGCACATGCTGTCTTGGCGGCGACAATTGCGCTCATGGTGATCGATCGCCAATTCCCCTGCCAGGCAATCACCTGGTGCTATAAATTGAATAGCGCTTCGAGTCGCTTTGTCGCCATTCAATTGATGGGGCGACAAACCCAAGCATATCCGCGGCTTTTCGCATAGTGACTGAGCAGGCCACAGGGAGATTGCCCCCCTGGGTGTTTCCCGTAAGGCAGCAGACATTGGTCGCTGTCTGCCAAGCCGCAAAAAGGGTAGTTTGCTATCTCTTTGGAAGCGCTCGGGCCTTCCGCGTGGGCGTCGCCGGGCCGAGGTGATGGAGAACCCTAGGGCCCGCCTGCAGCCGCGGCGCCTTGCAGCCCCGTGACTGCTTGATTATTTCAAGTGTGAGTGGTTGCTTCTTGTTTTTGCGGCGACTCGTCTTGATGCGCCATGCTGCAGTGCGGGGCAGGGCCTGTGCTTAGGAGCACCTACGTAGGCGTTTTCCCGCTGCGGTGCACAACGTCGGCAAGCCTACGATGCGTCCGACCCTGCACAACGCC